CCTCAAAACTCACTTCTACATGTCACCACAGTAGGACAAACTGACAGACAAGTTTGTCCTGCTGTTGGAGACCTCTCGTATCCCCCCCACCTGGGTCCCTGTGGCTGACTGTTCCTCTGTCTGGCACTGAATACTTTCCCTTGTTACCCTCCCGAGAGGGACCGGGTCTCCGGGAGCAAGGTAAGCACGGGCGTAGCACAGAGCAGCAGGCCGGAAAAGCAGGAGAAAGGGGTAAAACCCAGGAAGCCAAAGAGGAGCAATCAGCCAAAGGAATTAGGTGAGGAGGGAAACTCAGGGATGCCCAAAGAAGCAAGCCAGAAGAGCAGGAGAAAGGGGATTTGAACTGTCTGGAACCCAAGAACCATCAACAGTCAGAGAAGATCTGGAAGAAGCAAAAACAGTTGGGCTGTATAAACCCTGACCTGGTTTTGGAAGAGAAAGGCAATATATGTTTTCAGAACATGTAACATATACACAGAAGCCATGAAATTGCATCCACAGAATGCCAGATACTATGGCAGTCTTGCATAAATTGTACAGCTGGAGTTCGGACTGAGAAATATATCCAGCTAGTGCCAGCCTTATCAAGGATTTTACATGGAAAGCTGCTGCCCTAGAAACTAGGAAGGATGACACAAAAGCCACAGTTGTCCATCTAGATGCAACAATTGTCTCTCCTCATCCGGAGCAAAAAAGAATGAGGAAAATCAAAGATGCATGGAAAGAATTAGTTCAAGAGACTAGTGGACCATGCAAATCTCCCATGAGACCAGAAGAACTAGGTGGTGCCCAGCTACCACTGTCAACCACTTGGAAAGGGATCAGTGCTGGAGATCCTGGATAGAGTGGGAGAACAATGTGGAACAAAACTCAAAATCATAAAAAAAAAAAAGACCATGCTTAACTGGTCTGGTGTGAGACTGGTGAAACCCCTGAGACTATGGCCCCTAGTCACCCTTCAGACATGGAATTGAACTCACTCCCATGGCTTCCAGCCAAACACCAGACAGACATATAAGGTGAAAATTTACACCAGGTAGGTATGCTCCTTGGAACAATCAATCATGTGAGATCAGAAGGGAAGTATTTGCACGGGGAGATAACTCAGGGCAGGAATATATGGGAAAGGAGGACACAGGGAAGAGGTGGTAACCACAGGGAGGAAATGGGAAGAGACCTATTGCATTATGGGGATTGCAATCAGTGTCATGAAACAAAATGTGTATGAGCTGCTATGTGGAAAATGAATTTGCTCTGTAAATTTTCACCCAAATCACACAAAAAGCCATAGATGTCTACCAGAAGCCTTTAGACCTCTATTCCAACAGTAAGGAATTAAGTAAATTGTTATTAGGTCTGTGTGATGGCCCCCGTCAGTTGACATGATAACTCTGAGGATGTGAAGTGAAAGGCTGTGGCTGACCTGAAGTATAATACATGACGCAGCCAGATATCACATCCTAAAACAAATGCAGGAGGAATCCCAGACACTTGGTGAGTACTGAGCAGGTTTTCGCAGAAGATCAGAAAATCAAGAAGCCGATGGATATGAGTCTGACCACAGGTTAATGGTTTGCTAAGGAGGGCTTAACTAGACATAAAAGTCTGTGCAGCCCAACTTCCAGGGAGTTGCTGCTCTGAGGGATGTTTAAGAACCTTGACGTGAAGATTCCGCACCATTACTTTGAACTAAAGGACAAAAAAATGCATTTCAATGATCACTGTGTTCCCAGTCACCCAAGAATGGCTAAATTCTTGTATTAGTGTCCAGGTTGGGCATACGTCAAGGCATACAAATAGATGATTTTGCCTCAAGTTTTTCACCCCCATTAACAACAATAGCAACATGGCAGTAATATCAAGCTTAATGTCCCTGTCAAGACATTTTAGGTCAGCTTTGAAATGGTGAAAATAATCATAGACTTAGTACCCTCTGACCGTTGTTATGTTGAAGTCGGAGACATGTCTTCCCCTGTCACTTCCTATCCTGCTCAATCTTGATTCTCACCACGTAGGGCAGGAAGGGTTCTGATTGAGGTGGGAACCCATCTGGCTCAACCCCTGCTGTCTGGCGGAGCAGTTCTGCTGTCAGGAAGGCAGCATCTCTGCAGTGGGCAGGAAGGCAGCATCAGGGTGGTTTGTAGGAGAACCCTTGCTTGCACACTGTGGTTGAAGGTCCTTGATTGTGTACCTGTTGAGTTTCATATATAATTGTTCAGAAGCAATTTTGATTTATGGTTTAACTTTAAAGAGCCCTTGCTGTAGGCTCCAAGTTGACTCCTTTTCTCTTTTGGAAGTTATTTTTTTCTTTTGTTTAGATGAGTAAATGGTTGACAGCTGAATCTAAACCGTGCTCTGAAACTACGTGGTGCATAGCACAGCTTGAAGTTTTATTGTCATGAAATACAGGATTTATTCTGCTTTGCTGATGCTAATAAACTGATCATCTACCATCTTAAAAACATCTATAAATACTGATTGGCATTTTTTTAATCTGAAATTTTAAATCCTTTTTAGGGTTTATTTGATTCACATACCATTTGTCCTTTATGGTGAGGTTTGATTTTTTTTAGACCATGAAGTTGCCATGGCTGTTTCTAGTTTCACTAAGCATTTTCTAAGCAAGCAGGAAGGGTAACTATCACCCTTGTCTGGTTATCTGTTGCTGAGTGACAGACCACCCTAAGCTTAGTGGTTACAAAACAACACCAGTGTCTTTGGCTCATGGATTCTGTGGGTCAGGGGTTTGTGGAGGTCACCGTGGGGAAAGCTTGTTTCTGTTCTATTGAGTTGATCTAGGACCTCCACCAGAAGCCTCAGAAGCTAGAGGTGACAATAGCAGGGGTGGCTGCGCATGAAGCCTCACTCACAGGTTGGTTGATCCTGCTGTCATCTGGGACATCAGCTGCCAGACCTACACATGGCCTTTCCATGTGACTCGTTGGGCTTCCTCCCAGAAACTAAAGCAAAAGCTGTGTTGTCTGTCGTTTGTGACCTAGTCTCAGAAGTCTCATTGCATCACTTCTGCATCAGTCATTAGGCCCCCCAGTTTCAAGGGGAAGGAACCCAAATCTCATCTCTTAATGGGAGGAGGGCAAAGGTACATTTTCTAAAAAGAGCAGGTGAAATGGGAGATAGTAGTGTGGCCATTTCTGGGATAGCACAGCTATTAAGCTAGAAAGACTCGTATATGGTCCAGTTTTCAACACAGCCAACCAAATCTGAATTTGTTTTAACCTTCAAAGCCAAGAGCATTTATCCACGATATAAATACAGCCCATTCTGACAATGTATGTGCCTTTAAAAACTCCTATTAGTTGTTTTTATAATAATATGAATATGGAATATGATTATAATATTCATAATTGTACCAAATAAGCTTCTTACTTAAAAATAAACCAGTAAATAAGCATTTCTGAGTTTATCTACATTAAAGTAGTGGTTTTGAAACATATCTCTGTAATACACATGCCTGGCAGCAATTCTTGGTTGCCATTCCTTGGTTATGTTCTTTGTATATTTTATGAGCAGCCTTGGGTTAGGCTCTTCTGATGTGAAGTAGCTACGAGGCTAAGGACTATTCTATTCCTTTCCTTTTGTTTTTGCCTCAGCAGATCCGGGCCGTTGGCAGGCTGAAAAGAGAACGCTCTATGAGTGAAAATGCTGTTCGCCAGAATGGACAACTGGTCAGAAATGATTCCATGTGAGTACAGCCACTCAGCATTGTCCCTCCTTCATGTGTCTTCCCCTTATATTGTCTGCAGCTGTCATTTTCTAGATAATTGACTTCCACTAAGGAGCTCTGAGGAGCTCAGGTAGCATAGTGCCTAAGGCACTTGACTGCTAACCAGAAGGCTGACAGTTCAAACCCACCAGCTACTCCTCAGAAGGAAGGTTGGGCAATCTACTTCCATAGTCGTACCGCCTCGGAAACCCAAGGAGGGGTCGATGTGAGTCACATCTGACTCAGTGGCACATAACAACAGCAACAAGGAGCTCTGGTGGCATAGTGCTTAAGGCATTTGACTGCTAACCAGAAGGCTGGTGGTTCAAACCCACCAGCCACCCTGTGGAAGGAAGATTGGGCAATCTACTTCCGTAGAGATTTACCACCTCAGAAACCCCAAGGCGGTTGCTATAAGTCAGAATCGACTCAGTGGCAGTGAGTTTTTTTGTTGTTGTTGTTGTTTTGTTTTGTTACTTCCACTAGTGCTTCAGATCTGCTTTCCATTTACATCGGTTTTACCTTTTTTGCAATACTTTATGTAGGCTTAAATCTGACCATTTTGTTTGTTGTGAACTTTTTTCAATAGCATTTTCCTCTTCTGTGTGTGGTAGTCTTCCGTATGTAAGATTTGCCCATTTTTAGAATCACTTGTAAGCTGTACTTTAGACAAATTGATAAACGTAAGTGCTCAGAGTAGCCCCCAAAAATGTATCTAGCACATGGATTTGAAAAAGGAAAGCACAATGTAGAATGTTTTTGCTTTCAAGTTTGTCATAAGATGGTGACCAGCCCCTTCTGTCTTTGCCTCTCCTGAACCATGGTAACAGCACCACACAGCAAGGGAGATCTTTCTTTTTTCCAGGAATATGTTTTCAGCACTCTGCCTACTGATTCATTTAATTGTTAGGTCTCTTTCATTTTCAAAAACAGAATTTTGTTGCTTAAAAGACTATTTACTTAAATTTTCTTTCTCATTTGATTATATTAATATATGCTGATCTAAAAGCTACCACTATAAGATGTTTTAGCTCAGGCAAGTCCTTGTTGTTATACCATTAAAATGAATGGATTTTTACAAGTAAAATTCATCCTTTTGAAAATGGGTCAGAGTTTTACATCTCAGAGCTGCTGGTGATGGTGGCCTTTTTGAATAGTGATTTACATTGCTTTTCTAAATCACTATTTCTTCTTCTTTTATTAATTTTTCAGTCAATTTTCATGACTTTATCATGGGCCATGTGTGATGCCAACCTCCACACTAGCTTCTCTGGGAAGAGTAGGAAACCAGCAGCTGTTACATCTCCCTTTAGCGGTTGCACACGCAGTTGGAAGCAAGCATTTAAATGTATATACAACATAACTAGACCTCAGCAGAGTTACGTATTTGTGTTAGCCAATACCCAGTTCTAGTGTGGACCTGATTAAAAAGTATAGGGATGCAGAAGGGGCTATAATGGGGTAGGACTTTTAGTATTTCAGTAGAAAGAGGTTTTTCTTCATATATGTTTATGAAGACATTTCCTGGCATCTCATTCAATAAGTGAATTTCTGACTTCAAGATAAAGTCTTTGTTTGCCTTTTACTGAAACTCTGTGACCTTGTGTTCAGTGTGAAGAAGACACAGAGCTGTTCTAATTTCTGGAGAGTCTTCAGGTCTCTCCTAAAGCAGTGATAGTTCCTGTGAAGGGTTACCTAGGAAGAGCAAGTTAAAATGATTATATGTCCCTTTCAGGAAAGAGTTACCTGAATGATGCTGCCATTATTAATAGGAAGTTTTTCATGATTAATTAATGATATGCTCCCCTGAAGTTACCCAGGGATGCCGGCAGGCCTATGGAGTCCGTGTTTCTAGAATGTTTCAGATATCTCATACAGATGCTGAGAAGGCCACATCATTTACTGCTAAGGCAGCATTATTTATGTGTAATATTTAAAGGCAGCAGAAGTTTCTAATAGAAGTTTTTACCTTTAAAGATGTGGCTTAGAGTTTAGGGCCTTTATACTTAGACATTTCACGTTAATGGAGGTGATAGGGCTGTTTGAGTGCAGTGTCACTTTCGTGTTTTCCTGAAATGTCCAGTGAGACCTGTGAGAACCACAACTCCACGAGACTCCCTTGGTTTTCCAGGGCTCTCAAGCTTTCGGCCTCCAATAGCGTGTGACTTTTTCTGTTGCTTATTTTTGAGTTTGGAAAATATTTGCAATTTCCATCTCTGACAGGTTTCTGCCTTGTGCAGGTTCCGCCTTTCAGAGGTGTCACTGTACATGTCCTGACAGCGAAAAAGGAAGCCACATTGTGTGCGTAAACCAGCCCAGAGAAGTATGGTCTCGGGTAGACGAATACCTAGTAGTTGTGTTTGCACTTACCCAGTAACACAGCTCCTTCCCGACAGGAAGGATGACAAATCTGACTCGAATTTTATTTTCTTTTCAATACCTTAATGACGTTTTCTAAATGTTGAAAATCTCATCTCGTTAATTTGTGGGGGTTTTTAACTTTTTTGGAAGTAAAAAGAACAGGAAATTAAAACTGCATGTTCATGGTGGTTTGCTGACATTACATAACTATATTTTATTTTTGTTAATAATGTGATTTTGCCTATTCTCCTATCCTTGTTAATGTTATAATTTATCATTGAATTCATCTTTTAGATTTAGACTTGATGGTTTTCATTTCCTTAAAGAGTTCTGTATGGTGAGCACATTACATATTTAGTTAGTAATGTGATTGGGAAGAAACTATTACTATGACACGGTTCCTTTTACTTTTGCTGAGTACCTGCCACACTCCTGCTAGCTCTGCCTGCCTTACCTGTTCTTTGCAACGTGAGCTTGACTCTGGATCTGTGTGTGTGAGCCTTTGCTGCCTCCACTTCCTTTCATCCCTTGGGTTTAACAGTGGGTGTGCAGGCAGGTCTTAGAGTAGGAGTGCTCGCCTGTGCTCTTTTAATTACTTTTCAAGAAGCACTAGGATTTTAATTATTGTCAATTGTTGGCACAAAAGAAGGCCTGGTGGTGCAGTGGTTGTTTCACTCCATTGCTAACCAAAAGGTCAGCAGTTCAAACCCACCAGCTGCTCCACGGAAGAAAGATGTGGCAGTCTGCTTCCGTAAAGATTTATAGCCTTGGAAACACTATGGGGTTCTCTGTCCTGTCGGGTCACTATGAGTTGGAATCAAGCTGACAGCAATGGGTTTGGTTTTAGTTTTTATTGGTTCAGAAATAAATTCTGATCAGTAGAATCGTATCTAGCTTTTTCTTTGTGATATAAAAGCTGAATATGTAAAAGAAGCATAATTGTTATTTAAGGTGGCACAGATCAGATTCTGCCCCAAGAAATAAAATTTCAAGGTTCCAAGCACCGATTTCTGCACCGGAGTACACGTAAGATTTTATCTGATCTGCTTTTTACAAGTAGGAATTGTTTTAATTTTGCAGGCTTATGTTATACTAATCCATTTTTACCAAGTAATTGGCATATACCCTAATTCTCTTACCATTTGGCTTTTTATACCTCTGTTTCAGGATTTCTCTGTCAGCATGTACTTTGTTAATAATAGAGGTTAACTTAAGCCAACTAAGAAAGTGATGTGTAATTTGGAGTGTATTGGTGAAAATAAAATGGAATAATGTAAACATAAGGACCAAGAATTCTTTTCCATTGTCTTTAGTTTGCTTTAATTGGCATATCACTTCATTATTGATTCAACTGAAGTTCACTGATCCCTTTTTTTTTTTTAATTTTTATTTCAGCACACTATCATTTTATTTTATTTTGACCCAGAAGGAAAATGAAGTCTTAAGTTTAAGACTTTTTTTTTTAATTTCATAAATTAAAATTATGCTTGGAAGAATTTTTTGAGATTATTGCCTTTCTTTCTGTATGTGTGGGAATGACTGACCATCCCGTGAGGGGAACCATCTTGGCATGCAGTGTAAGAATTCAACAGCCAGTGTAGCAACAGGAGAAGAAGCCACACTGGCAGCCAATGATTTTTCTCCTTACTCTGGTTCTCTTATGCTTCTAGGAGCTAGTAAATTGCTGGAGATCGTGGCAACAAATTAAAATTCTCTCTTTATTTAAAATTCCAAGAATCTGTGCTTCAGTGAAATTTTTTTTTTACTTTTATTTTTTCACTTTACTGCTTTTTGGGAAGAGGCTAGAACCTCCCCAGAGAGATTAACCCCATGGTTGAGAACAATTATTCCTGTGAAAACCCTGGGGAAAGGAGATACTTGACTTTGAACTTACCTCCTCATTATAATGACATGCTGACCCCACATGAATTTGAATGTTAGTTGTGTTGTTGGTGAGTGTTGTTTATTTTGCACTCATGTGGTGAGATGTGGAACAGCATGGCAGAGAGCTGTTCCTCATGAACTAACATGGTGAACCTCAGCAGTGCTTTTTATTAAATTACTAACATTTAACAGTTGTTTAAATAATCTTCTGAATGTCACTCTTGCAATATACTTTTTTATTTTGTTTTATTTTTTTTTTACTTTTCACAATAGTTCACTTGTCAAAACAAAACAACAAAAACAAAAACCATGAAGCCTAGGTTGGGTAGATAAGTAGACAGAAACTCAACCCCAAAAGCACTATTTCCCAGCACTGATTCTAGTATCAGCCATTTGGGCTAGCATCAGACTGACTGCCAAAATGCAATCCATACTTTTTTGCTGCTGAATTTGTTTATTTGTAAAAAAGACTTTCAAGGTGGCTTATATCCCTTTTAAAAAAAAGGGAATTGTGAAATAATTTATTGTTTCTGATTGGGGTTAGGGAGCTCTGGTAGCATAGTGCTTAAGGCACTTGACTGCTAACCAGAAGGCTGGCAGTTCAAACCCACCAGCCACTCCTCGGAAGGAAGGTTGGGCAATCTACTTCTGTAGCAATACTGCCTCAGAAACCCAAGGAGGGGACGCTGTGAGTTGGATTCCACTCGACAGCAGTGAGTGTGTGTTTTTTTGTTTTTTTGTTTTATTTTGGTTAATTGGGGTTATATTGGTCATCTTATGACTTAATCATTCCATTTATCTGTAGGTGGTAATAAATATTAACAATTAAGGGCCTTTACTCTTTACATACACTGTCAAAAGTGGCTTCAGTTTAAAAAATACTTCGTGTCCTGTTTGTGCTGGCATGAAGCATTGTCATGTAACTGAATGAACAGTTACGTTTCTTACTAGTCTTTGAAACTTTAATTTCTTTTGAGAAACAACCAGAAATCCAGATGTGTTTCATGTTGGTCTTTGATGAAATAAATATCTGTACTATTATTGATAGAAAATGTTATTTCGTGTTTTATCATTCTTTATAATTTTTTCTTTTTAAGTTACAATTGAAGATCATGGGAGTTTGTTTTTTGTTTTTCATTTATTAACACATTCCAATTTCATGTGAATCTTATAATCTGTTTTAGAATCCAGCCTTCTATGTTCATTCCATGATGAGAATTTACAGTTTATCTGAAATCAGTTTATGTTTGAATACTTTACAGCTTCCTGTATACGGACAGGAAATACTTAGCTTTTAGAATTTAAGTAAGCTATTCATTATTGCTTGTTCCTAGAAAAACGATTTCTCTCAAAAGGAATAACCCTTCTTTTAATTTTTAATGTACAAAATTCCATCAGATTTTTTTCTTGGACTTGGATTTTAATCCATGGACATTATTGGTCTAAGATTATAATTCTAGATATTATCTCAGACTATAATGTAGTAGTTTGTAGCTAGTTTATATACTGATGCAGAGTGATAAGCAATGTGTTCCATTGAAGCCTCAAAATGCAAAGACAAAAATGTTAATTATATCAAGAGATAACTGAACTGATAAGTCTTTTTAAACTTGCTTGAGTAAACTTTATCAGGTGTGCTGGTAGCTCTGTCAAGAAGAGAAAGTAAGAGGGATTGTATATTTACATGGTGCAGGACTGGCTGGTTTTATTCCTTCATCTGGTGATACTTTTCTAACTTGTTCTCAGTCTGATTTCGCATCAGAGGCAGGTTTTTGCTACGCTGCATAAAGAGGATTCTGAGCCGAGGCTAGTATAGACACTGAATCCCAGATAAGCTCTAGGATGCCCAGACTGGATTTTGTCTAGTACCACACAGGTCAGCTGATAAGTTGACATACATACATTCCAGAAGACTCCCGTCCTTGGACAATTAGTGTAAGCATCCATGAAAATTTTGATTTTATCTTATCATTAGGCCTGATTCTGAATCAGCCTTGACAGGTTAATATATCAATGTGCTGAGGTTTGGCTTACATGGTCTTTGGAAAACAAAGTTTTCATATCTATTGTACTTCTCTCTTTGGATCATCAAGACATTCAAAGTTATTAATAAAATTGTGACGAAGATTTTGTTGTTTGATTCTCTAGAACTGTGGGAATACTGATGGCACTAGCTTTCCTTCCAGAAATTATCCCACTTATTTTTGGTTCCCACACAAATACATGTTAAGATAGGAAAGAATGCACAAGTCAGAATGAAAAATAAAAATAAACCCTTTTCAGTTGTTCTCTCTGCTCTGTGTTCATTCTCTGGACCTTGATGCACAAAGATGAGATTCAGCCTTGCAGGTTTTACCCTGACAATGGGAGAGAATGTCCAGGCCTCATCTTGGTATCACACTACTCCTCTTACTTGGCTAGAACCTCACATTGTAACAAACCAGAGGCCAGAGTCACATGTCGGTTAATACCTCGCACTGGTCATGCTCTGACGTTTAAACAGCTCTCTGAGAATATTGATTCTGATCTTAAGAGCTGAGGTTACTGGCTTCCTGCAAATGGGCTCAGCTCTTAGGAGGTGCTCACAGTGGAGCAGAGAAATGTGACTCTTGGCTCACACACAGAAAAAATGATCAAGTCTCTTGTCACTGAACAACACAGCAATGATTATTTAATCACTGTCTTGATCCTTTAAGAACTGCCCTGCTTCTTTCAGTGCATTCACAGAATTGGGGTCATTTTAAGTTTTAGCCACTTAATTGGAGAAATTAAGCTATCCTGTAGTTTTGCAACCCAAGTGCTTTGGTCACAGTTTTCTGAGACTTCAGTCCATCTTTAAATCAGCATGATGTATTCATCATAAATTCAGCTTGCTTCATTGTCTTTATCTGTGAAGTATTTGAAATGGCATTTTCACAGAATACTTTTTGATTCATGTGTTTAAACCTTGTCTGACCCCTGTTTACTGTCATGTATTTAAACTTTGACATGTTTACCAGAAGCCTCTGTCATTCTCTTCTGGACATCTGTAAGTTCAAGTGCAATGTGGTTTGTAGAGCTTTGCTTTACTGAATTGAAATGTATACACTTGCTGAAGAATGCTACCTCCCAAAACGAGAGCTCTGATAAACTCGTCACTGTCGCTGTGGCTCTTGTCCCTCTCTAGAGTGGTTCTTTCATAATCTGTTTGTTTATGTTGATATTAAGAGTTAAAGGTGCTGCATGGTAGCTGGTCTTGAAAACAATTCTAAATGTTTATTAACATCTTTGCTTTCACTGTTTTCTGGGATGATGTAAAGGGTGGGAGAAAGGGGTAAGAAAAACGAAAGTCATTCTTAAAATGTTTGTGGGAAGTGCTCAGCTGAAGTTGTATGAAAATCTGACTTGAGTCTTTCTTTCTTCGTTTGCTGTGCTATGTAAACAGTGTGACACCGTCGCCACAGCAGGCTCGAGTCTGTCCTCCCCCAGTGTTGCCTGAAGATGGAGCTAGCCTCTCTTCCGCGCGCGGCATTTTGTCGCTTATCCAGGCCTCCACTCGTAGGGCTTACCAGCAGATCTTGGATGTGCTGGATGAAAATCGCAGGTGATTGGCCGTCAGTGACTCTCGCCAGCTTTGTTGCATATTTTTTTGGCTCCTCCTTATTAGTGGGCTGGGGTGTCCTCCTTTTCTGTTTGCACCTTCTCATCTCCAAGACGCATTGGTTTGAAACTGCTTGCTTTGCTTTCTTTTATTATGAAATTTATTGTCCAAAATTCACATTTCACAAGATTATGTTAGAGTCCCTTCAGTCAGGGAGAGTATTTGGTTACTAACTGTATGCAGGATGTATATAGTGTCTTCATTTAATGGCTTTGTTGACCTACTCTGAGCACCTGACTCCACTTTGGGATATGCCGAGAGCGACTGGATTGAGTGTGGGATGTGGGACTGAAGCACTGGCTCTTAGTAATTATTTCGATTTAACCATTTGTCATAGTAATATAATTGGACTAATAAAGGAAGTGAATTTGAGAAGGTGATGTCAGTATAGCTGCCAGGACATTTTTTTCCTTCCTTCTTAGCCAGGCAGCTCTAGGCCTGTTTTAGAAATCCCAGATACTCTTGTCCTTTTCATATTACTGACATTTTCAGTGTTGGTGACTTATCTCACTTTTGAGCGTCTCCAAGTAAAATCATTAGTAGCACACTTAGACTGATTCATGCAAATACATTTTTATGCAGTTCTTTCAAATACTTTTTACACTTCACTGCTGCATAGCGTTTTACATATGTCATGGGGAAATAAATTTTACTGCTGTATTTGCGCGTTTTCACAAACATGGTTCCGAAAGAAGAAAGATAAAACACGGGGAGCTTTGTTTTGACATAATGTGGGAAAGGTCCAGTAGCTTCACTTCAGCTCCATACATTTTATTTAGTGACTGTGAGCCAGCATTGTTCTCTGCTTGGCTAGTGTTAAGTTCACAGCCTTTCTAAGCTGCCCCAGGAAGGTCTTAGAGTGAACGCTCATGGCAGAGGTGGGGTGGGGGCATAGATATTTGTATCTCTGTCCAAGGGAGAGAGAAGCTTGGCTTCAGAGGGCCATTCAGATTCTGTCTCAGTCTTGCTCCACCCCTAGCTGCATCATAGCCCTGGACAACTTAACTGCCTTCCCAGGGTCTCATTTTCCTCCTCTGTTTAAAAAAAAAAAAGTGACATAGTGCCTAAGGCACTTGACTGCTAACCAGAAGGCTGGCGGTTCAAACCCACCAGCCACTCCTCATAAGGAAGACTGGGCAGTCTACTTCCGTACAGATATCACCTTGGAAACCCAAGGAGGGGTCGCTATGAGTTGCAGTCAACTTGACGGCAGTGAGTTTGGTTTTTTTGGATACATAGATCATAATATCTTGCTTCCTGGAAAATGGCCTCAAATTCTTTATTGAGTGAAGTGGGAGACCCCTCAAAAGATAGTGAATATAAAGTACTTAACACTTAAGAACTAGTATTTACAGAAGCCTGTTATTTGTTCCCTCCTTAAACCAGCTTTACTTTTCACCTCGTATCCTCTTTAACTTTTTAACTAGGACAGGTCTTCCTTATTTCCTTAGAAGAGACCAGATTATTAGGTCCAATTATATCATATCAAATGCTATTACACTAGAGTATCTGAATGAGAAAGATATTTCTAAATCCTGTATAGTGTAGTGCCTAAGGCACTTCACTGCTAACCAGAAGGCTGGCGGTTCAAACCCACCAGCCACTCCTCGGAAGGAAGATGGGGCAATCTACTTCCGTAGTGATACTGCCTCGGAAACCCAAGGAGGGGTCGCTGTGAGTCATGTCCGACTTGACAGCACATAACAACAACAAATCCTGTATGGATTAAAGAATAGCTTGATGACAAAATCCCAGCACAATGACATTATTTTTTGTTCCCCTTTCCTCTCCCCAGCATCTACACAGTTCCTTGTAGTGCTCTGGAACACATAGAAATAGCTACAGTTTTTTCCTCCATGGTCGAAATATTTTTTTTAACCTCATGTTCAAAAGTCTAAAGTCAGAAATCTTACTATGTATTCTTTCATCATGGAAAAACTGTTTTGAGCCTTCAGTTGGTTTTTTAATTTTTTTTCATTCTAATTGATGACTTTAAAATTCCTTTTCTGAAAAGGGACAGTCTTTTATTACCACTTAAATGAGATTTTAAAAATTCACAGAAAAGTTGTATTAATGATATTTTGCTCCTGGATGCATACTGTTAGTTGTGACCTTGGAGGCTAGAGGACTAGATTCTAGATTCTCATCAGTCTTATTGGATGCTTTCATTATTGGAAGGTAGATTAAAAAAAAAAAAAAATGTATTTTAATCTCTTAACAATCTAAATGTGGAATGAGATTAAACAGAATTGTAAGTGCCAGGTCACTTTTTATTTCTACTCTGAGAACTGTTAAGATATGAGAAATAGGAATGTGAAATTTGGATAATGTTCTCTTTGCATGGTTATAAAAGAATACTGCTTATAAAGTTTAAGTGCTTTTATGTTCTTTGCTGTGTTTCACTTTCTACTTTCTGTTTTCTTGCTCTTGGCTGTTATGCTAACGCAGCAGAGTCTTACCCTTGGTTTGGTGCCATTCCATTAGGCATATATTTAAATTAGGCTAGAACTATTTGGCAGAAAATCAAAGAGAAAAGCTTTCTCCTTGCTTTATTATCATAAAGTAATGCAGATTCATAGTTACTTGACATAAGAACTATTTTTATTTAACACTTTAAGAGACACTTTTTATGTACTATCTTCATTTTCTCATCATATGAAAATACGATGACCTAAGCCAAGCTTAATATGAAAACAAATATTTACCCTAGGACTACAGTAGAAAAGTTCATTTATACAGGTCAGTAGTACTATGCATTTGGAAAACTGACATGCTGAGATCTTACCAAAATACCTGGGACAGGCACCAGGTGGCAGCCGCATTTAAAACACAGTTATGATTTGGTTTGGGCTGGTGGGGAAATGCCCAGTTAGTTGTCCAGCATCTGTTAGAGAGAATGTAACTCATTCTCTGATGCAAAGTGTTACCATTTCAAATGAGCAACTTAGTTTCTAGGTAAGAATAGCATGCTTAAGTTTTATTTTTAGGAGGGACTTGATTATTTTTATACAATTTTTGGTTTGTTTTACAGATTATAATCATTTTGAGTGAATAGAATAAGAAACCACTATGTGAAAAATTAATATCTATTGCAGGTGTTCCTATAAATATATCATTTGAAAGGCCTAGCAGTGCAAAGTTATAGTTGATACAGTGTTATTTGTAATTTGGCTTTTTTTAAAAAAACATATAATTCCTAGTGCCTCAAACTATTTACTGTAGCAGTTTACATTTTTATAGCAAAAAACACATATTCTATTAAGTTAGATTGTGTATATTATTTTTTAAAATATCAATGTAGCAAGTTAATGCAGAAACTTGTAGCCTTGGGTTGCCCTCCCTTCCCCACCCTAATTACAAAGCATTGAACATACTTGTTATCAAACTTGAAAAGATTTTTTTAATATGTATTAAATCATACTTAGAAAGTGGTACTTGAATGAATTTTCAAATTTTGCCAAATACCTGTCTAATTTACTTTTATATTATATGTGTCAATTGCCAGTGTGAGAAGACAAAATGAAATACGTTGTGAAAGGTAACTGTATCATTTTCTGGCTCTGCATTCCTTACAAAAGGGAAATCTCCAGGGTGGAATATGTAGCATGTGGCATCAGCAGTGGAGACTTGACTTAGCTGACCATTTTAGTGTCATTTAGATTGTAGTCAGATAACAGATCTCCTGATACCACAGAGTGAATAGCTAGCAGGAGAGGATGAGTTGAAAACCTGTCTCAAGCATATATAACTTCTCACTATTCTTGAGCAAACAAAGTAAAAGCCTAACATGTCTCCCCAAAAGTCTCTGAAACCTTTATCCTCTAGGCTCCAGAAGTTCCTTTAAACATTGGTAACTCCTTTAGGAATTGTAGAAGCTGACAGTTAAAATGTTCGTTTCTGAATTGACTTATAGAAAATAGTGATTTGTAATCAGAATTCTATAGCTTTGCCAAGTTATTAAAAAAAAAAAAAATTAGTGCATTTGATATTAAACATTTGCTATAATTAAGAATTTCCTTGATACTTAAATTCAAGCAGACACTAGGCAGCTACTTAAAGAATGAGACGTTCAAAATGGATGTGATAATTCTCAAAACCCACTGATAGGTCCTATACTCCTAATCTGCTTCCTCAGATTAGTGAGTATCGCTGTTTATTTTTTGGGGAATTGATCAGAAAACATGTAAAGCTTTAGTTTTCTGATTTGAAAACAATAAAATGTATTGGAGAGGTAACTGCTTATCTAGGTTTTGCTATTCTAGACCCAGAGCATGTTCTGGGATCGAGGAGAGTCCCACGGCCTTCCCGCATGCCTTAGTCTCCCAGCCAGCAGCCCTGTACGTCACTCCTGGTTGCCGCTCATGGTCAGACCCACTCCCATATTTGATTGCACCATCTGTAATGTGCTGTCGTTCAAGCTTCCAAGCAGGTCTGTGATCTTGGCTCCGGAACCGAGGCTGACAGTGCTGCTCTGAGAGCTGGGGGTCTGAAGGAGAGACAGCTGTGTGAAGACATCAGGCGCTGACCTCACTTAGCCGGGTGGGAGGGAAAGGACGTACAGCTCTTAGGATGGGGCTGCTGCTTCAGATGAGCAGCCATGATCATGCAGGGGCAGCCAGCCAGTTCCTGACATGCCCTGAAGTGATTAGTGACCCCCCCCCCCCGTTTAGAAAAGAAACATTTCAAGGAGAGTTGTCCTCTGTCTTGAATTTCATAAATTAAAATATAAGCACCAAAGTCAGATGGTTTTGTTCATTGGTGCTGTTTTCTGACATCAGTATAGATTCTCTGTGTTTCTTTAATCATTTGTGATATTGTTCAATTTATGAAAATCATAAAATGGAGGACATATGAAACAAAGGTTTTTAAAGTATTTGAGAAATATTATATTGTATTGAAACATACAATATAATCACATTTGACATTTATGTGTCTTGTTTTTGCTTTTATTTTATTACTTCTCTGTTTCCTGATTCTGTCTTGTGCCTTCTCCCGCAAAAACCTGCCTTAGACCCGTGTTGCGTGGTGGGTCTGCTGCCGCCACTTCTAATCCTCATCATGACAACGTCAGGTAAATTCCGCGACTTTGTGGTTAACAGGGTAAACACTTGCAGAATTTGTATTTTACAGCACAGTGCATGTGGTATTGTATTAGAGCTTGAACTTCTGTCGCTGTTCTTTATACATGACCACTTCTCTGAGAGAAAACACAGTTTAATAGTTGATAACATATGGTCACTGGGTATAGGGAAAATACTTGACAATTATGGTACGGCATGTGACATCTGAGATGTTTTATTTAAATACCGTTTTAGTAGCTTAGCGGAGATAACGTTAAAACGCAGGGCAGGAATCTTATATCTTGCTTTAGGTGCATCTTGTAATTGTTGCCTGAGACTCCTCGGCTTCATCTTTTTCAGGTGTTAATTGTCTAGAACGCATCGTCTTCCATTGAGGGGCAGCTTTGACAGCCTAACTACTCGGAAAGTTGAACATTTAGGGAATTTGGTTGTTAAAAGTGTTTGTTACCTGTTAATGTAAGCCTTTCTCTCTTGCTTTAGCCCTTTGCACACTTTGACAGGCTCGCCCTGATTAATTAATTCTTCCAGTCATGCACAAAGACAGATGGAGTGGCATGTACAGATACTTAACCGTTCTCAGGGCCAAAATCCCCATTTAATTTTCCCATCTTTTGAAAAACTAAACGAGAAAACAGAATGGATTGGTGTTCACAGATGCCATTGGTAAAATTCTTTCAGAGCCAGTTCAAGTTTATTTTAAACAGAAGTGTACCTTCTAGAGCAGTAGGTTGTAAACTGGCAGCATTGCATCTGTGATGGCAGGAAACAGGCACATTCTTTTTTAAGCAAGAGAAGCAAGGGAGGAGCTAGTCACTAACATGGAGCCCGTTAGAGGAGGGCGACTGCCCGGGCCCTGGCCAGTCTGCCCACTGGGGTCCTTCACAGGATTCATTCCCTGCAGCACCACGTCTTCTCTGAGCTTCGGGGCCTTTTACCTTTCTATGCAAGTGCTTTTAGCCAGTGGTCTAACTTAGTGTTTTGAAGAGGGTTTTTAGTTCTGCTTAATACAGGTTTTGGTTTAAACCATAGATTTTAAAGTGATATTTTTGTTTGTTTTGAATTGAATTATATAGATAAAGTCATTGCCATAGTCTTAGATTTCTTTGTGAGTGAAGATTTTCTTTACAGATATCCGAAACCTTAGTTAATTCAGGATTTAACTATAAGTTATCCCTTTCCCTCATGCTTCCTTCTCTGTGTTCAGTGCAAGTTCTTTTCACCTTTGAGACAATTCCTTATATTTGATTTTTTCTAATTGTTCATATCATACGTGACTTCAGGAAATATAACAATTGAATTTGAGATGACATGTGAAGAAAGGAATCCTGAGCTCTTATTTTTTTTCACTAATCATTTAATAATTCTGTTTAAATGATCAAAAGAATAATTGACTGAGATGTTTGTAGACCCATTGTTCCAGCATCTGTAAATGTCGAAGTTTGCTAACTGATAAATTTACTCTGAATATTGTAGGATTTGTGCCCTGTTCTGATGAGAAGGGGGCATTTAGCAAGAAAGCAAGTCAATTTAGCCATAAGAGATTGTTACAGAGTCACTGTACGTCATCTGTCACTGAGACTGCAGTCTGCGTAGCTGTCGTCAGTGTGGGGGATGAAGACCCTGGCTGGGAGCACACTGCGTGGCTAGAGCACGTTCTGTTCCCAGGCTTTGTTTAGGGCCAGACAGGGACCGTGTCTGGACTATTTTCAACAGCATTTGAAACAAAAACATTTTCTGACGAGCTTTGTCTTTAATGTGTCTGGTTGAAAACAGAACTCTCCTTCACACCCTCTATGTGGTGCTGTGCGTGTTCCAGTGGGGACTGGCTTGGACTGTTAGAGAGTGTGGTCCCCATGTGCCAGCTGTCTGTGCATTATGCTGCAATAATGTCTTAGTTTAATTTTTTTATATTCTGCTCATTCAGAAACAGTACTAAGCCGTGCTACCAAATAATTATACAAGATTTAAAATAGATGCACATGTGAAATGAATTATGTGGTATGTAAATTATACCTCAGTAAAGCTGTTTATTAGGGAGCTCTGGTAGCATAGTACCTAAGGCACTTGACTGCTAACCAGAAGGCCGGCGGTTCAAACCCACCAGCCACTCCTCAGAAGGAAGATGGGGCAATCTACTTCCGTAGTGATACTGCCTCGGAAACCCAAGGAGGGGTTGCTTTGAGTCGGGCTGACTCGATGGCACATAACAACAACAACGCTGTTCATTAAAAGAACAAGTAAAACACATGGGAGGAAGAAGCAGCCCAAGGGGAGAAGTGGCATTTGTGTGTATTTGTTTCTCAGAAGGATGTTGTTATTCATTGAAGAGTAAATGCTCTTTTAGAAGAAGTAGCTGTATTTGAACAGTGCTTTTAAAGTGCTTTGTCTAGATTTTATCATGGTGGCTTTAAGTGTTATTATTCTGTATACAGCCTGTAGTTTATCACTGAGCCAATTCCAGGTCTAAAGGTAGTGGCCAGGTATAGTCAGGAGGTTTGATAGTTGCTTTGGCAGGAGAACACATTCAAAGGAGTGATCAGAAATAAGTAACGAATGAAATGGCAAGAGAAAGGAGCAGGAGAGGCAGAGGAGAAAAGAAAGCTAGATCTTGGTGTTTTTTTTTTAATTGGAGTTAGTTCTTTTGTCTTCCCTGCCAGGAAGTCTGCAGCTGATGAAACTATGTGTGAACATACGTTTGTGCAAGAATTGAGAGCTGTTAGAGCCTGGAGGGGCAGTTCCCAGACCTCATCCGCCAGGGAGGGCTTTTTGCATTACTGGTCTCTGCGTTAAAGTGTCTCCTTATTTATTATCTTCAGTCAGAATTTGTTTTCATTCTCAAAGTTTCAGGACACTTTCTCAGTCATGGGCGTAGTTGTCATCTAAAGCCATCAAACCAATTCAGGTGAAATATTTTACTAATTCACTGTAGGATCCCAGGTTCTGAACGGTTCCTTGAGCATTGCTTATCATGTTATGTGACTTGTCAGTTTACTCTTAGTTCTGTTTTAGTATTCAATTGTATTTTTACTTCTCACCTGCTAGGTATGGCATTTCAAATATAGATGCAGCGATTGAAGGAACTTCAGATGACATGACCGTTATAGATGCAGCTTCGTTAAGACGACAGGTATTCAATGTACCAGATGAAATCTAATCCTCAGTTATATTTGTGTCATACTTAGAGTGACAGTGTCCAACATTTTACCATTTTCTCACCTATGGATACATGACTTGAATCATTTTATCTATAAAACTATGAAGGAACAATTCCCCTCCAGCTTCTCTAACACAGTGATAGTCATCCCTCATACTTCCACAGAGCTCATAGTGTTTCCATAGATGCTACGGGTTGGATTCTCTGGAAGGCAGATTCGGAGGTGAAGATTTGCATGTGGAAAGTTTATTGGTGCACACTCTCTGAACACCTGTGAGGGGAAGAAGAGGAAGTGGGATTGGGAAAGGGGAGAAGTTGGGCTGTGGTTTAGACAGAACAAAATCTGTAGCCAGCCCCACGAGGAGCTCTGAAGCTGGGACACCAGAATTGGCCCCACATGGAAAGAGGGGCCTCATACCCCCTCACTGACCAGTCATGGTGTGCATGTCACCCTAGTAAGGGCATATGAGCTTGAACAAGGCAGTTGTTCAGCCAAGGCCAGTTCCCGGGAAGGACCAACAGTCAAGGACAGTTGCTGTCCGCCAGTGTGGCTCCTAGCAGCTTGGGAGTTAGCCTTTCAGTCCTGAAGAGTCTGATGGACATATCATAGGTTGTTTAGGAGACTCAGTAACTCTGAGAGGTGGACAGAGAAGGCAGCTATTCCACCCACTTTGGAGAGAAGCAGCTGAGGCTGAGTGACAAGAAGCTGACAGCAAGACATAGAAAGGGGCAGGAGTGCCTTATTCTTTCTGCTCTGTAAGCTTGCCTACATACATAATCTGTCTTCTCTACTGGAATAGCAACGTGCAACTGTTCCCCCACCTATCTGAGGAAGTGAGGAAGGAACGCTACCCTTTCTAACTCAGAAACTTGGGAAGGGAAGTAGAAAAGAGTATTTGAGTGAATTCAAGCTATCCTGGATAACATTTTTTTTCATAGTTTTGTTTGCTCATTTTTTCTAAATGAAACTTTAGTGTTTGTAGTAATCCCTTTTGACAAATTGTTATACTGCTTTGTAAGAATCTGCTCCTGCGTTCAAACTTCTCTTCTTTTTGTTTTGTTTTTCACTTAGATAATCAAACTCAACAGGCGTCTACAACTTCTGGAAGAGGAGAACAAAGAACGTGCCAGAAGGGAAATGGTCATGTACTCAATCACTGTAGCATTCTGGCTGCTTAATAGCTGGCTCTGGTTTCGCCGCTAGAGGTAACCTCAGCTCTCAAAAATATTTGTCCCAACAGCTAGAAATATAAAGAATTTGCAAACTTCTTTGTTTCTGTCTCTGCATTGTATGCCATTTTATAGTCCATGCCCCAGAAACGTGTTTCTTCCCGAAAGGAGGGGACAGCCTGGGTTTGCAGAAGTAGAGGTATATCCTGTCACTCGGCCGTAGTCTCTGTAACCGGTGCTGCAATGACACCTGCTTGAGACCTCCCTCCGCATGTTTTGTCAATAGACTCCAGTTTGGTTTTGAGAGGAGCTGATTCTTTGCCTTGTCAGTCTGCACAACTGATTTTCTCAGTGCGTGTGAGACCGCATAGAGAATGGATTCAGAAAAGGATCTGTAAAAGAAGAACTGTATTCTGTTCTATCTCTCACACACTGTTAGACTGAACAGTTTTCGTTACTAAACGTTTTTGTGCCCATGGCTCAGCATTAACACTCTGAGATTATGGTCTGGTGCCAGGTTTCAGAAGATTAAGCCACCTAATATCTCATGATCATATTCATTAAACACGTGTACAGATTAAATCAACACAATTCCTAACATTTGAGCAGTCTGTCTCATACGTGTGCAATGCGTGCGTTCTTTATTTTCATTTTAGTTTTTTTTGCAGATGGTTTTCTATAAAATATGTTTTTACTAAGCTCATGTGTGAATGATTTTTAAATTTACAGAATAAGGTACAAACGTGTAGTGTATTTAATAAACTGTCAACGAAAGCAGTGTTTGTCTATTGAAAGGTTTTATTTTGTCATATTGTGGGGCTAGCAGCATTCTGTATCATGTTAGGCCTGAATGCAAGTCTGTGGGAGTGAACGTGACTCTTATATGAAACTGCGCTTTCCTATCTCAGGCACAAGTAATGCAGTTAATGGTTTGGCATGTGGCAAGAACCTGTTGCTCATTGGTTGTGTTGTGGATGGTTTTCTGATGCGTAGTATCCATAAAATGATTCCGGTGAAAATACTGTTGAGTTGTGCTTTCTTTTGCCATTACAGGGTTCCGTTGCTAACATTCTGAATTTTATGAGCAATAAACCTACGAAGTCCTGGGAGCCTCTTTCTTCTCCAAGCAGACAGATTGCTGGTTAGGGACAGTGTCCTGCACAGTCTTCAGTATCTTTCCACCAAAGCAGTGAGTTTGGGAGAAGGCAGTTGAGGGAAATTCCTTAGATATAGACTGATTTAATCTTTCTGTTCTTGTTTCTCCCCTGCTCCCCTCCTCGCAAAAAACTACCAGAAAGAAAGTTTTTCTCCACACAGCTTAGGTTTATTATGAGCCTGATAATAGTTTATTTCCCATGCAAGTCTTCTGCCTTTCAGTAAAGTTCTAATGATGGAATTGTATTAAACTCTGTGTGTGTGTGTGTGTGTGTCTCTCTCTGTATATGTGTGTGTGTGTGTTTATATATATATACAGACACCCACACATATCGCAAGATGTTTTCTGTGACTGAGCCTCCCACGTGAAACCAAAAATATGATAAAAATGATGGATAAAATAGACAAAGCACCTCTTTTTCCAAACAGTCATGAAAGGATTCCACAAATGCCAAAAATTAAGTAAAAGCAGGGATCCTGGCAGATAGAGAAGCACAAAGCCACTTTCTTTCCTGATCGGTTTTTCTCCCAACTGAGAACCCGGGGCTTTCTCCCTTAGTGGTCACGTAGGGGCCGGAGGCAGACTTCTGACCTAGGGCAGACACAACTGTGGCAGGAAACTGCTCCATCAGGCTGGGACTCCAGGAGACAGTGTGCTCAGTGAAGGGGCGGTGTGGGGTCAGCATTATCAGGCAGGATACTGGCCCTTGTTGGCCTTGTCCCATATCTAGAAAATAGAAAAGCAAACTAGTTGCCCTCAAGTTGATGCTGACTCATAGTGACCCCATGTGTTTCAGAGTAGAGCTGCTCCACACTGTTTTCGTGGCTGTGACCGTTCATGAACACATTGCTAGACCTTTCTTCCAAGGCTCCTCTGGGTGGATTTGAACCTCCAACCTTTTGGATAATAGCTAAGCACTTAGAAAACAGAAGAACTTGAGTTTAGCCCAGATCTTTCTAACTCCAAAGCCAAGCTTTGTCTGCTCTACCATTGTGCCTCCAGTACAAGGTGTACATCACCATAAGAAAGTGGCTCTGGCATTGCAAGGGAAGAATTCACTCCTGGTTAGGGTAGTTAGGAATACTTCTTAGAGATCAGTTTAAGCTTCAGTTTGAGTAATGTATAGGATTCAATAAGCACAGAATGAGGACAAAGATCCCAGGTGTAGGGAACAGCAGGAGAAAAGGGTGGAGCAGCAGCCAATAATCTCGTGACCACCTGATCCAGACCACAAAAACCCACTGCCATCAAGTTGGTTCTGACTCAGAGCAGCCCCCATAGAGTTTCCAAGGCTGTACATCTCTGCGGAAGCAGGCTTCCTCATCTTGCTCCCGTGGAGCAGCTGGTGGGTTTGAACTGCCAGTATCCATAAAACTAAGCATAACAAGTATATCCCTGTTATACCCCTTTCAGAATGCTCAGTGTATCTTCCACCTCTCGGAAGACTTTTGCATGATGCTTTTGCATGTTTTTTTACACTTTGAGGGATAATTATATGAAAGTAGAGTATTTATAATGAGAGCTTTTCTTCCTTTCCTGCATGGATGCATCTTGTCCAGTCTCTTAACTAGATTTGACAGTGAAATTGAACTGTTTCTCTAGGTCTCAAGTTTGAAAAGTTTTAATGTATCATAAATGTCCTGGTACCCAAGCTTGTAAATACACATCTATACACGTGTGTTTTCTGAAATTCTCCTATGTGATGGACGTGCAGACAAACAGGGGATATGTTATATTGTGACACAGATGATAACAGTGGCGGTGGGGTGGGGAGGTTAAACTGACTTAATCTGTTGGAGTCATGCTCTCTGGAGAGGCATCCTCAGGTAGGACACATTTAAGCTGGGCCTTTAGGATAAGTACACATTCATGGGAGTGAAGAGAGAATGTCTTCATATAGTGAATGGGATCGGAGAAAAGGCTTCAGTTCTTGATGTTACTGATTTATTTGGGAAGGTACAATGAAAGTAAGGAGCTCTGGAGGTGCAGTGCCTAAGACATTGACTGCTAACCAGAATGTTGGTGGCTCAAACCACCAGCCACTCCACGAAAGGAAGATGGGCAATATAGTTCAGTAGAGATTTACCGCCTCAGAAGCCTCATCGGGGTCTCTATGAGTCAGAATAGACTCAGTAGCAGTGAGTTTGGTTTTTGTGGTTTTATAGTGAAGGTAAATGTTGTAAATTATTTCTAGAACCTTGAGCTGAATAAACTTAGAAAATGCAAAAGTGAAATAAAATGCAGGTGTGACTGTTTTCTAGTTTTGTCTGTTTCGTAACACTTCAATATGGTAAAGACACTTCTGTTATCTTTGAATGATTGTCATATATAGAAACTAGCTTTTGAAAGGTCATGTTTTTTTTTCTAGGTACTGTTTTTTAATTACTATTATAAAAATACAAACATGAAAATAGAAAAGTATAATAAATCACAGTACGCCCATCACCTATATATAACAATTTACATTTTTATGCTGAAATATTTTGAAAACATGACAGTTGTCGCAAGTATATAAAAACAAGTATATAAAAACATTTTCCTATATTACCATAAAACCATTATCAAACCTAACAAAATATACCTTAATTCCTTAATAGCTAACCCAGTTTATGTACAGATTTCCTCAGTTATTCCCAGCAAATTCAGACGGTTTGATTGAATCATGTCTCTTGGTTTTTTAAACTAGAACAGTTCCCTCAACCCATCCCACCTTTTGTTTGCCCTGTGACATTTTCTTGTTGAAAATGGGGCAGTTACTGTCTCTTTACTGTCCCACCTTCTGGATTTGTCCAAGTGCTTCCTCTTCCCTATATTTCCCATAAGCTGGGAATTGAGTCTAAAGACTTCATTATGTTCAAGATCTCCTGGACAAAACAGGTGGGCCCTTTTCAATGTTAACTGCTATTCATTCTTTCTCTGTTCTCTCTCTCTCTCTCTCCCCGCCCCATAAACACAGATTACAGTTAAAAATTTGAACAGTACATAGGACAGAAAGATACAAAATAAATAGAAATTTCTCCATTCTCCCTGAAGTCAACCACTGATGGCTTTGCCTTTCTGTTTAAAGCTGTTATGCATGTGCCAGTATTCTTCACCTGTGAAAGACCAGTTTTTAAAACCCCCTCAAAGACAGCCCTAAAAGCAACTTTCTGTACTAAAATGATGAATGCAGCTTGCCAGATAATGTTCTAAAAGTGTATTTTAGATGTAATTCTCAAATGACTCAAAACGACTCATCGTTTTATTTTATTACCATTAGAACTACACAATTTGACTCCTCCGCTTAGAGACTCCACACAGACAGCCAAGGAAGCCAATGACTATCTGACTGAGTGCAAATAGCACCTCCAGAATCCCGACAAGTAATAGACCTACAAATGCTGCGATGTGGATAGTCCTGTATTTGTTTTCTTTGGAATTGAAGTGCAGGCCGTGTTTAGTCCAGTCACTGGCCATGGTGCTACCAGTGGTGGAGTTACTGAGAGCAGAAGAAGGAACACAGGAGTCAGTCCAGAACCACTGCAGATCAAGCAGTTGTTCATGAAAGTCACTGAAAAACAGAAGAAATGGGGAAAAAATAAGATACTGAGGAATATCATGGACCATCAAAGGAATGCAGTATTGGGCCCAGAATATAACAAGTGTGGTGAAATAGGATGCGCTCTTGAAATACTGTGCCCAGAACGATAGCTAGTACCATGCTTCTGAGCTGGTGTCCAGATATACCAATAGTCGTAAAACTTACTCACTGTGCACTGAGGTCTGTGAGAGCCAGAACTCAGCAGGGCTGCCTTGGTTTCCCAGCTCTGACCAGTTTTTCGCCTTTGACAGGGTGCTGTCTTACCACCCTGGTGCTCTCTGTTAGTGGAAAAGATTTGTGTTGTCCTTCTCTGACAGGTTTCTGCCTTACACAGGTTCTGGCTTTTACAGCTTGACTATATACCATCACTCAACAAGCATTTCGGTAGTACCACCAGTGGTGGTGGATCCACATGCAGTAGTTTTTGCATGTTAACAGTGTTTGACTATCAGCAGTTTCATGTGGTTCAGCCTGTCTGTGCAGGTGCGTAAGGAGAAGATGGGCTGAAGGTAAGACAGGAGAGGACTTGCTCGTTGCAAGGAGCTCACGCCTTAGTGCAGAACCACAGTGTCGTGTTGCATCTGCTCCCAAACTGCATGTCTGATGACAGTTGCTAAGAGGGCAGTGGAAAATGGGGAACTTGTACCCCTAATGTATCTATCCCAAGGTAATTTATCCCTGGCTTACTACGGAGTAAGGGGCTACACGTTCTTTAAGAGTTTGCCCTGCTGGACACCAGCCTAGTGCACAACAGACTTTTTAGCACCTGGATTTTGAAGTGTGCAGTGAGCTTAGGATCCCCCTGTTGGAATGGTTTACTGGGCAGTTTATCTAGCCACCTGGGCTGGGAAGTCTTTGAAGGCTGGTATGTCAGAGGTGAACTGATCTCCTGGGATGTAGTGGGCCCTTGTGCACCGAGGACCGAATGTATGTAGCCACAATGGTTGAACTCTCAAATCTTATACTTCAGATCCATCAGCAAATGGCAATTTCCTTTGGTTTTGGTTATGAACCACTGTGCTGTGTACATTTTGAAGGTTTTTTTGTTTTAATGTAGCAAGGTGTTCTGGTTATCTACTGCCGTTCTGACAAGAATATACCACAAATGGGATGACCTTAACAAACAGTTTATTCTCTTGCAGTTTGGAGGCATTAAGTCCAAGTTCAAAGCCAGGCTCTAGGGGCTGGGTGAAAGCCCCTCAACCTTGGGGTCCGGCTCTGCCTCCTGCTCCTGGCCCACTGCAGCTAGAGGCGTTTCTTCATTCAGACAGCTGCTGGCTGCTGAAGCCCAAAGTTGACAAGTAAAAAGGCACAGTCCCAAAGTTACAAAACCACATGGCAGGCCATTAATTTAAGTCCATTTTAAGTCCCAGGATTGGCAGTGCATGGCAGGCTGCTAAACAATGACATGGCTACATGCAGGGTCCAAGCGTGCCATATGCTAGAGACCATTCCCAAAACTGCTGCTTATATACAGGAAGCAGACCACATACCCAAAGCAGCTAGGCAGTTGCTTGTGGTAGATCCCACCATGGAGCTGATTGCCAGTCTCATCATGGGGAATAACTACCACCAGCTTCCTAGCCATTCAACCAGGCCCAGCCAAGTTGATACACAAATGTAACCACCATACAAGGTAAGGGAAAATGGACAAAAGTTTAGTGTTTTTCCCGTGTAAGAAAATTCTGGTCATTTCCTAACTGAACAACCTATATATAGATCATTAATGAAATAGATTGTTCTTTTCTTCCAGTTTTACAAATGGTGCCCACAGTTGGACCCAGGCTCATCTTACCCATTGCTATTGAGTCAATTCCAACTCAGCAACCCTGTAGGGCAGAGTAGATTTCCAAGGCTGTAAATCTTTACCAGAGCAGACTGCCTCATTGTTCTCCCGCAGAGCGGTTGGGGGGTTCAAACCGCTAACCTTTTGATTAGCAGCTGAGAGCACTTATCCACTGCAACACCAGAGCTCCTTTAAGATTCATGTCATAAGATTGAAATAAACCATTAGCTATGGGAACCTTCCTGAAGTTATTCAGCCTGAAAGTGAACAAGAACATGGGGTGTGCAGCGCACAACTCTTGAGTATCGTTTGTTAACGCATGACGTAAAGTTCCATCTAGAGTGCCATGCCTGGGTATTTACAATGTGTCTGCATGGAATTATCTGGCTGGTTGGTTTCTTTAGAGCATACAGACAATGCTCTAGACCTATTTATTGAGTGTGTTTTTATCAATTTTTTTTTTAATTATAAAGGTAATATGTGCTCATGGTTGACAAATTTAATTAGTTCCAAAGTGTAGAAAGTAAATACTCCTTTCTCTTCCCCAGAGGATTCTCCATTATCATTCTCCAAGGATGAAAGTTAAGTTTCTGGTACATATTTCTGGAAAATGTTTATATACGTACACATAGATAGTAGAACCTGCAAAAGCCAGAACCTGTATAAGACAGAAACCTGTCAGAGAATGAGAACTCAAAGTATTTTCCACTAACAGCAATAGAAAAGTGGTAAGAGAGCACCCTGTCAAAGCCAAAAACCTTTACGACCCAGAAAAGCAAGGCAGTCATGTCAAGTCCAGCACAGGTTTTAGGGTACAGCTGTAGATTTTCAGAAGCCAGGTGTATGCCATCAGAGAGCAGCTGTTCCTTTTAGACAATACTGTATCTGAAGCATTCTGGTGGTACTGATTCGTCCATTTCTATATGAGATTGTGCATGCTGGAATTGTGTACTAAATGCCTAAGAGTCTATTTGTCCCAGAAGTCGTGCCAAAGGAAACAAGGCCAGGTGTGAGCACCACAGCGTTGTAACCCGGCTAGCTGCAGTGAACCGTAGGACAGTCCGTGAAAAGCAGGTTACTTACCTTAAGTTTTTGAATGAAAATTGGCAGTTGGTAGAGCTGTTGCCTTGAGGGTTACAGATGAGTGGCCCTTCCCAGAGAGCCTGGATGGATACCAATATGCAGTACACGGCACCAATGACTGTGATGACGTTCGTCAGTGATGAAAGAAACATCTGAAAAACAGTGGAACCGTTTGTGGACGTTCTTCTGATTTGCTTGTGGTCTTGTTAGTGTCAGGTGTTACACAGCGTGTTACACAACCACTGCCACTCCAGTCACCCTGCGGTCTTAGATCTTACGATCACAGTGTGGTTAGGTATGAATTAAAGGCGGCAGAACACAAAGAGTCTCTTGTTTGGTTAGACTCCACAAGAGTTGGGCTTGCTAATGTCTGAAAAATCTGAACCTCTGTATGTCCATTTCTGCTGACTGCTGAGATGAGATTTCTCCTCTAAATGCTGTGTACCTCCTGCCTCATGGAACCTGGACTGGGTCTTAGCTATCCACAGTTTGATGTCTGGTCTCTCAATTCTCAAATCTTTTGCCTGACTTGAACCTGATGCTGAGGGATCTGTGGCCAGCACCTCACTGTGAGTGGTCAGCAGTCCATGTTGGAGCAGTGTGATGGATCTGGATAGAAACCCACTTAATGGGCGGTGCTACACTCACAACAAGTCCTTTGCTTTGTGGGAGTGTTAATTTCTTCATTCTTCCATGAAACATTGTAATACTTCCTGCTTGAGAACTTGTAAAGAATGGAATAAGATGGCCTGTTTAAAAGTGTTCTGAGCTGAGTGACAGCTGCTCAATAAATGTCCACTTCCTTAGCTTATAACAGTTATAATTTTGTACATACAGGTACTGCTCTAAGGTATGGGGCAAATAGTTGGTCACCTCGGCCAACCTAAGGGTTGGTGGTTCAAACGTGGAAGAAAGGCCTGGCAATCGCTTCTATAAAAATTACAGCCAAGAAAACCCCATACATGCAGTGGGGTCACCATGAGTCAGAATCAACAACAATGGGTTTGGGTTGGTTTCTTTTTTTAGGTATTTTACTAAATGTTAAAAAAAATAACTATTCTCTTCTTTAATTGCATAGGGAGGGATAACAGTCTGACCCTGACAGACTGCCCTCTCATATGCCTCAGAGGACTGAGGGTACATTTTCCTCACATGCTTTATACAAAACTCCACAGAACTAACAAAATTTGAGAGTATTGTGAACAAGACAGCTCTGAGGGTGACTGACAAATCCTGCTTTGAAAGCCTTAGATTAGTGAAACTGAAGATGGAACTGACTGAAGACTAGCTCCAAAGCTAAATTTTTATGGGAATTAAAAAAAAAAAAAAAAACTTCCCACTTTGCCTATTATCACATGATGATCCCAGATGGCAATGCATTTCTCAGACCAGCTCTGCCTTCGGAGCCCTGCTGTGGCTCCGTGCATATGACGACCCGGGGACTTTGCTGAGACGCCAGTAACTGCACGCACTGCTCCGTACTCACCCCAGTTCTGTTGTTGCAGCATGCTCTTTTTCTTGCTGATAAGGCCATGGTTGTTGCTGGAATGGCCTGGAAATGACCAACAGGAGAAATGAGTGTCATTAGTGTTCATCAGATGACAGAGCAGTGACCTTGGCCTTCTTAGCACCAGTTCTGGGATATCAAGGCCCGGGAACAAAAAGGAAATTTGGCCATGTTCTTGACCCTGTGGACCTTGTCAACTCGGATTCAACCAGAAAAAGGGGTGTATGTGGGGGGGGTGGCATTCAAGGCAACAGGTGTAACCCCTCCCATGCACATTCTCGCTTAGCCTGGGTCCTCTTGAGAGGGACTTGGATTGAATGTGGATGAGGGTGGGGTTTTTTTTTTAATTATTTTTGAAGGAATATTTTTTAAAGAATTGGTTGCATCATCCAGTATTCACTTTTCTTTTTTTTAAGTTAATACAACCTGCAACCGCTAACTATATTTCTCAAGAATTGTATGAATTTGGCAAGTCTCCAGAAAAGAAACTGATGGTCATCTTTGCCTGGTGGTTGGCTGTCCCCACCCCTCTCTCATTTCCTTTCCTTCTCACTCCCTGGGTCACGGGCATCTTGCCAGCTCCCCAGGCTTACAGTTTGAGGACAGCTTTGGGATCAACCTTCTCCCTTCTGCCCCCGTGTCCGTGCTGTGAGGGAATCTCACTTGACACTAAGGCTCGGAAACCTCATCCATGCTGCGTTTCGTGTTAAGGGAAAAGCACACTGGAAAGCTGAGAAATGATGCCACATTCTCAGGGCTCGGGTTGACATTTTTACGAATATCTAGTCAGCAGCTGTGACTAAAAGATTCTTCCTGGAAGAAGTCTTGGTACCGTTACAGACTGAGATGTGAATGACTTCCCCCATGTGAGAAATTGTAGCCGGAGTGTTTGGGGGTTGGTTTTTGCCATGTCAGCCCAGCTCCCTCAAGTCTCTCTCCTTCCTTCTCTGTTTTCTGGTATTTCATTGAACTCTAACTACATGGCTCAGGCACTGCTGCTGTACGTGTTATAGGTCGTTTCAGCCTCATCACAATCCTGTGAGAATACTAAGTACTTAAGTCATGGTTCTCTTCCCTTACCATCATCCCATTTAACCAGCGAGAAAACGTAGAAACTTAGAAAATTTGTCTAAGAATATGGTAGGGTTGGGATTCAAAGCTGGGCAGCTGGGCACCAGAGCCAACTCTTAGCACTATCCACAGGAGCTCAGTTCTTACCATTCTCCTCTCTTCCCGCATAGTGTGTACTACCACCACCACCACCCTTGCTCAGGGCATTTGCTAACTCCTCCTTCCCTCGCTCTGTTTTCCAAGGTCCCAGCTGCCTTTGTTCTTTCAGACCAGGTTCAAGGTTTACTCCTTACAAGGCAGTTTTCCTAACAAACTTGACCTGCTCTGATACTGTTGTGACTCCCCATCACTGGTGGTGAGGACTTCATTATAGTTAAAGCTTTGCTTACGTATTCCTTCAGCACCAAGGTATTATGCTTCAGAGGTCTCGTCTACATATAGCAGCCCAGCCACTCCGGGGAACAGCTGGGAACCCGGATGAAAAGGAAAAGGACATTTTAGCCCCAAAAGAGATGTCAGGAGTTCATGAACTCAACCTCTTTTGTTACACCCAAAAGCTACACGACCTCATAAGCTTAAGGAGCCAAAATTTAGAACAGGCATTAGCAACCTACGGCCCACAGTCCAAATCCAGCCTCCACCTGTTTTTCTAAATAATGTTTTATTGGAACATAGCCATGCCCATTCGTTTCCTTATTGTCTCTGATTGTTTTCAGATAAAGAACAGTAGTAGAATTGATTAGTTACAAGAGACTGTCTGGCTCTCAAAGCCTAAGATACACGCTATTTGGCTCTTTGTAGAAAGTTTCCCAACCCCTGACTTACAAAATAAATCTTTAGAAGAAAGAGCAGCACTAAATCATAACAACTTAAACCATCCCATTTTTCTTATTCATGAAAGTCGGGCTTTGCTGACGATTAATTTATTTCAGAGATGCTAAATACTTTCATGGTTCTCTTCTCTTACAAAGGATTCTATAAAGTAACTATAATTTATAGTATATGAATTACTGAGGAGCTCTGGTGGCACAGTGGTTAAGGCAGTTGGCTGCTAACCAAAAGGTTAGAGTCATTAAACAAAATAAATAGTTCATGATTCTCTTCCCTTACAAAGGGTTCTATAAAGTAACAATAATGTATATGAATTACCGCCCATTTTTCTTCATGGCATATTAGTTCCTCTTTGCTACACAAGTAGGGGTTGGTTGGTTACTCTGTTTCAGCTGTTTCGCCCATGCAGAGCTTTGGGCATTGGCTGGGCTCTTTCTGGGAGTATATTAAAATGTGAAGCCATGGTGTGCTTTGACTGACTTAGAAATCTTCCAGATAAACTGCAGACATGATTAATCATGAGAACACTCTAAAATCCCTAAGAACATTTAAATACATAAGGGTTTTTATGAAATTAAAAGTCGTGCTAGTCATTTTTTTTTTTAAGAATATTGTTCCTTTGTCCTTACAGAAACCTCTGTTTTTATCCAAAGATTTAAAAGTAAGGTATCTGATTTTACAGGTGACTGCCTTCGCTGACTAAAACTCAGGGGCAGAATTCCGACTTTGCTAGTCCTTGAAACACTTCACCATGAAGGAAGTACACGAACCCATCATAGATACCAAAACAAAAACAAACTTTCTGCTATTGAGTCAATTCCAACTCATAGTGACCCCACTGGGTTTCCAAACCTGTAGGTTTTTACGGCGCACACTGCCTCATCTTCCCCCAAGCAGCTGGTGGGTTTGAACCACTGACCTTTTGGTTAGCAGCCAAATAAATGCCTTCACCAGGACACCAGAGCTCCTTCATCACAGATAATACTATTCTATTTTGCAAATGCCTGTTTTTCATAATACCTCTCTGATTTGCTTAACTTTGAGCCATTTGTTCTCTGTTAAGACTTGAATCATTTTGATGAATTGCCGTTACATAATAAATAAACTCAATGAATATACATGATTCAGATCAGACTTACAGTTAACTTCATGTAAAATGAAATGGCCTTTGTGCTTGTATTTGTTAGAGAAAGCACTTCGATTTTTTTTTTTTTTTTTTTTTAACACTTGGAAAAGCAATGTGTGGATTGATTTTTCCACTTACCAGGCAGATTAACGATAACATTTGTACTCTTAGTCATGGCTTCAAAAGATGAAAAGCTTTACCGTTGTTTTGGATAAGCCATAAAACCATAAAATGGGTGCATTTCCTGAAGTAATCAGTAATGAATCCCATAGTTTGTTTTCCTACAAAATCCCCTGTTTTGTAAGCAATGGTAACCTCAAAATGCTACAGCAAGAAATGCTGTAAACCAAGAACTATGACCAGAGTGATTTCTTGTTGATTAACGTTTCTGTGTATTTACAAGTATATTGAGAATTGATCCTACTCAGTATTCTGACAGATGTTGTAAAAGACACAATTCCCTTTTGGAAAATATACTCCTGTGCAGCTTATGTGTAGCCAGAGTTCACAAAAATGCACCTGTATTGGAGCCTTTCTGCCCACTGGTGAGCTTGTGGACCCCCTCTGGAGCTGGAGGCCCCATCTATAGAGGGTCCATTAGACTTCTCACAAGTTGTTTGATGTTCTTATAGCATTGCATGAGCTTGAGTAATAAAGGCTGGCATCAATACCTTTCATTAATATCTATTGAAGGTAATAAAGTAACTTTGGCCGTAGAACAAGGAAGTTCACATTCCCTGTGAAATTGTCACAGGCTTATATAACCTTCCTGTGCTTCAGTTTCCTGGTCACTGAGATTGATGGGTTGTATCGATCACTGCACGAAACAGGGGTGGAGGATTATGGTCCCCTTGCAGGTGGAAAACAGAACTTTGGAGTCAGATAAATCCAGACTTGGGGCTCACCCCTACTGTGCGATCTTGTTAACTTTCTTGTTAACTTTCCTAAGCCTCTTTTTTTTGTGCTAGTCTATAAAGTACATGTAAAGTAGAGGGTTTGTGGAACATGAGAAGACCCTCAGTGAGATGGATTGATACGGGGGCTGCAACGATGGACTCAAGTACAGCAAGGCTTGTGAAGACAGAGCAGGAGTGGGCAGTGTTTCCTTCTGCTGTGCACAGGGCCACTGGGTGGGAACCAACTCAATGGCACCTAACAACAGCAAAAGTGCAAGTGACAGTATCTGCTCAGCAAGACGATTGTAGAGATTAGGTGACAATGTACAGTCTGGTCCCAGTAGCTGGCCATAGACGTAAACCATAAGTGGAAGAGTTCTGCATACTGTCTGTCTGTCTGCTCTCTCCCCTGCTCCCCAGAAGATGCTTAAGAGGAGTATAGGGTGGCTCGTCATCATCTCAGGCTCCTTTGACATCTCATGGGCTAAGGGTAGAGTGTTGTGTTTTTTTAATCTGATGGGCTTTGTGGCAGAGCCAGTTCACATCTAAAGCTACATGAGATTCTTTTAGGAACTTCTAGGAACTTCATGGAAATGGCCCAGGAAGGTTGGACAATCTACTTGTTTAGTGATACCACCTCGGAAACCCAAGGAGGGGTCACTATGAGTCAGAATTGACTCAATGGCAGTGAGTTTGGGTTTTTTTGGTAAGTTACATTTAAGCAGCTGCTCCTGGCTTCTGGTCTAAGCAGGGGCAGAAAGGCTGTCCACACTCAAGTAGGGAGAAGTCATCCCCGAGGAAGAGAGTGGACACAGGGACTTAACACTTGGTCACAGTGCTGAGCAGCACACTTTCTCCCTGCTTGGAAGAGAACATTCAAGGCAATTTGAGGAAATAGCCCAGACCTTCTCAAAGCTTTCCTTTTAAGTAGCTCTTTCTACCTAAAGCAGGGTGGTCTTAAAGGAAAAGAAACCATCAACTTTTGGGGAATTGTTCCTGGATTTTTTTTTTTTTTTTTTGCTGCCAGAGTGGTTTCAAGCAAGGGACAATTTTTTATGTAAAGTTGAATATGTAATGGCCTCAGAGCATTTATATATATAACTCTGGAGATAAGACCAGCAACGATAACTGGTTATTATTAAGGACTAATGATGAAAGTGAAGAAATAGCCCTGGTGGTGTAGTGTTTTTTGGCATTTGGTTGTTAACCATAAGGTTAGTGGCTCGAATCCACTAGCTGCTCTGCAGAAGAAAGATGAGGCAGTCTGCTTCTGTTAAGGTGTACAGCCCTGGAAATCCAACGAAGGTTGCTATGAGTTGAATCAACTCAATAACAGTGAGTTTGGTTTGAGTGATAAAGGTAGAAAACTCTGTCCTGAAATTCTTTAAAAGTCATTTCCATGTTTCATCATCTCTAAAAACACTTTGATAATACCAGTCATTGTAACTAATCTGCACACACACATACCCAAAAAAAGTAATTTCTGTGGCATTAACCAGAACCCCTGACGTAGCACCAAGTGGTATAGCAAACAAAAGCTCTCCTTTTTACAACTGTGGGAATACAATCAGAATAAATGACTTGACTCCCAGAATATACTGGAGGTAGACTAACTCACTGCCATCGAGTCAGATCCAACTCATAGGGACCCCTCCTTGTTTTCACTGCGGAAGTAGATTGCCCAACCTTCCTTCCGAGGAATGGCTGCTGGGTTTGAACCGCCAGCCTTCTGGTTAGCAGTCAAATGCCTTAGGCACTATGGCATCAGAGCTCCTGCAGATAGACTAGGGCTGGGATATTCTGCCAGCTCTGAAATGCAACACAGGTGGGTCTGGGTGAGGTCTACTGCCTCAGAAGGTCTGGAAATCCAGCCATTGCAAGTTCCTCAGGTGATTGATGACCAGGTATTTTGGGAAGTTCTGTATGACACCACTGTCATACAGACTTCACTGGAGAGTAAACCTGTAATCATCAGACTATATAACAAGCACCATGGTGCTCTGAGCCAAAAGTCCCATAGATCAGAGAGTCAGGATTTCAAGGCCCGAATTGCTTAGCCCACCCCCGTTGGGTTGAGGCCCATGCCTCATTCATGCCTCACAATTTCCATCATCCGGGATATTCCTCATTCATGGGCATAGGAACGTTCCCTGTAAACATTCAGAGACCAGTATTGGGCATAGAAAGTTGAAGAGCAGTCCAACATGTGAAGAAATGTGATAGGTGATTATCCAACCAATTTTTACCAATTTGTTTTTTTTTGCTCAAACTCCCTAGTCTGTACTATGACCGTTTTTCACTGATGACCAATATAAATTAATAACATACCACTGCCCTTTACTGTATCCTAATCTAAGACATAGCTAACTGCAAGGCTGAAAATGGTCTTAGGAGTATGGCTGGTAAAATAGGTAGGCTCTTCTCCAAATCAAGCCAAATAAATTTTACTCACCATCAGCCCTGCTCCTATAATTCCCGGGAACCACCACTCAAAACAAGAGATGCGATTTTCAGAGAGTTCGTCCTCATCAGTGAAACTGACAATCAGAGGTATGGCATTGAGAACTACTCCTGAAAGAAGTAGAACCAGCAAGCTGAATGCATTGCAGGACGTCCATCCTTCACAGCAGGTCATGGCTACCCTTGGTTCTGTGGGAAACCCAGTCAAAGTGGCTGTGTGTCTGGGCACTGTCTTGCCTTTTATCCTGAGCCTTCTGGTTAAAGTTTAGCACTTATGAAAAATGAATTACGGAAAGCAGTTCAGAGTCCAGTAGGGCAGGACATTATTATGAGACTATTCCCGGGAACTAAGGATAATTTTATAATATGATGGAGGGGGATGAAAGGCAGGTGTATGGTTCTGATAAATAAATAAATTCACAGAAAATAGGCAGATGAAAATGAAAAAGCAAGGAGGTGCTTATGGACAAAAATACATATTTTACTAGCATGCCTTATTAAAAACAGAAATAAGAATACCCACATATTATAAACTACTTTTTTTCTGTTTTGTTCATATTATTACCAGTTACAGAAGTTCCTTAAAAGTCCGTGGATGGCACGAGTGGTTTGTGTTCATCTACTGACCAAAGGTTGGCAGTTCGAGTCCACCCAGTGGTGCTTTCAAAGAACCTCCTGGCAATGTATTTCCATTAAGGGTTACAGCCAAGAAGACCCTGCAGGGTGGTCCTCCACAGCAACCCATGAGGCCACCAGGAGTCGGGATCACCTTGATGGCAACAGGTTTTTTATGGAAGCTCCTCTCTGGTGAAATTACTCAACAAGATAAATGAACATATTTGAGATTGGGACAAAATATTTCCTCTGCTGCAAATGTTCTTGATTGATCAAAATACTAAGATTCAGTTTGAGGTGTTAGGATTCAGTAAACATTCAATAAAATGTTTTCAGTGTCATATTATTCCAGTCTTGTGTAGTGCCTAAGGCATTTGACTGCTAACCAGAAGGCTGGCAGTTCAAACCCACCAGCCACTCTTTGGAAGGAAGATCAGATAATCTACCCATAGTGATACTGCCTCAGAAACCCAAGGAGGGGTCGCTATGAGTCGGGGCCGACTCAACGGCACATAACAACAACAACAATCTATTTAGAGACAGCCCATCTAAGACTCATCTAAGACTCACTCTGGCCAGTGCTGCCATGCTGAAAGTGGTGAGGGATGGGAACCAGAATGAAAGCTAGGAATAGGAGAGAAGCAGGAAGGGAAGCTGTTGTGTCTCACCCTTTGACTCTGGAGCACTTGCTTGGACGTCAGTAGTACTTTACATTTCTGGAATGTGGTCCCATATTGTCTCTGTATTAATTTGTGAGATCTGCAAGAAATTGTTCTCCCAGGTGGGATTGGCTTGAAAATGAAAAAGTTCCCACTTATGCTAACCGGTCATATGGATCAACATATGGTAGTTACTGAGAGAACCAAACAGATCAAGACATCATCTTGATCCAGACGTCCACACTTACAGAGGTACTTCATGCTTCTGTCTAGATGTGACACACATCACCTTGGTTCCCATTCCATTGCCCAAATGAGTCAATGGATGAAGAAATACAAGCCAACATGTGTTAAGAAGAAGAAAATTGAATATTACGTAGTTCCCTGAGAGCTCTGGTGGCATAATGCCTCAGGCATTTGACTGGTAACCAGAAGGCTGGTGGCTCAAACCCACCAGCCACTCTTGGAAGGAAGGTTGGGCAATCTACTTCCATAGCAATACCGCCTCAGACACCCAAGGAGAGGGGTCGCTATGAGTCAGGTCCAAATCGACAGCAGAGTGTTTGGTTTTGGTTAATTAGATTATATAAATAGATTATGTATTTATTACTGAGTTAGTTGACTTAAGGGGAAGAGGTAGCTACTTCTTATTTCAGACTGTGGATGGGCTCTTCAATTTCAGCTTTGTTTGCTGTCTTTATTACATGTTGATTAAAGAACTGCTTAAACCGAAACCAAACCCACTGCCATCAAGTCAATTCTGACTCATATTGACCCTATAGGACAGAATGGAACTGCCCCAGGGTTTCCAAGGCTGTAATCTTTATAGAAACAGAAGGCCTTGTCTTTCTCCCATGTAACAGATGGTGGATTCAAACTGCTGACTTTTTGGTTGGCAAACAAACGCCTTAGCCACTGTGCTACCAAAAAAAACCAAACTCACTGCCTTTGAGTCAGATCCAACTCATAGCAACCCCTCCTTTTATTTCCAAGGTGGTATCACTGCAGAAGTAGATTGCCCAACCTTCCTTCTGAGGAATGGCTGGTGGATTTGAACCACCAGCCTTCTGGTTAGCAGTCAAATGCCTTAGCTGCTTCACTCACTTCCATCAAGTCCATTCCAAGCCATAGTGACCCTCATTGGGTTTCCAAGGTGGTAAATCTTTATAGAACTAGATTGCCCCATCTTCTTCCACAGAGCACATGGTGGGTTTCAACCACCAACTTGTGGTTTGCAGTCATATGTCCTAGGCACTGTGCCACCAGAGCTCCTTGGAGAACTGCTTAGGTACTGCTTTTTGGGTACTGGTTGGGTTCTACCTGACTGTGAGCTCTAGTCCTTGGAAGGAAGATTGGGCAATCTACTTCCGTAGAGATAACCGCCTCGGAAACTCAAAGAGGGGTCACTGTGAGTCGAATCAACTTGATGACAGTGAGTTTGTTTGTTTTTTGGTATGAAAATCAAGAGTTTCATTACCAGACTCTTAGAATGCTTTGTTAGTGCCTGTAAGATTGGGCAATGTACTTCCGTAGTGATACCACCTCGGAAACCCAAGGAGGGGGGGTCTCTATGAGTCAGATCCGACTCGATGGCAGTGAGTTTGGTTTGGTTTGGTTTTGGTAATAAAACTATTTCCACTTGGGTTTGTACTCCTTACGTATGTGGCCAAAAGTAAATACCTGAAGAATTGTGGGAAAATGTAGAAATAGAATCTGGAAGTTATGAGTGGAAAAGTATTTAAAGATAAGATGAAAAGAGAATCAGTTTACAACCAAAGGGAAGGTGTATGTCACTTTTGTACTACCTGCCTAGCCCACAGGCCTAGTTCTGTAAATACCCCCTCCCCCGCAATTTGCATGCGTGGCCCACCTGTATCTCATTTGTACTGTGGGACTTTGCTCCCCTGGCCATTACTGATTAGAACTTGGGTACATACAGTAACTAAGCTCTTCTGAACTCTCCCAAGAACTTGACCTTGAAATCAAGAGACACTAATTATTCTCTGATATGCATGAAATTCTGTGTTGTTGTTAGGTGTCGTCAAGTCAGCTCAGACCCAAGGCGACCCCATACACAACAGAACAAAACACTGCCCAGTCCTGTGCTACCCTCATAGTCCCTATTATACATGAGCCCATCATTGCAGCCACTGTGTCAGTCCATCTCATTGAGGGCCTTCTATATATACATAAAAATTATGTAAAAATATATACATAATATATATATACATATAAATTATATGTACATAAATATCTATATATGCATATATATATAAATTATGTAAAAATTATTTAAAATTTGAATATGTAAAAATTACCTGGGAATCTCTAAGACTCACCTGGGGATCTTGTTAAAATGTAGATTCTGACTCAGTATATCTGGGGGCAGAAATGCAGAATCCCAGCGGGGTTCCAACTGGTTTGAAGCCCTGCACTTGACACAAGATGATAAGAGGGGCCTTCTGGGTGCCAGTGTCATTCAGGGTCTAAACTAGAAGACTGCCAGCATGTCAGTTCCAAGTCACAGTGACCCTATAGGATAGAGTAGAGCTGCCTTACAGGGTGTCCAGGCTACAAATCTTTACGGAAGCAGACTGCTGCATCTTTCTCCAGTGGAGCTGTTGGTGAGTTTGAACTGATGACTTTTCGGTTAGAAGCCAAGTGCTTAGCCACTGCACCACAAGGGCTCCTTCTCCAAGAGTTTAGACATCTTAAACTCTTGTAGGCATACTAGGTTTTCATGGACTAATTTTCAGAAGTAGATCCCTAGACCCTTCCTCTTGGTCTGCCTTAGTCCAGGAAAAGCCACCAGATTGACTGAGGGGTGAAGTCTGCCACCCAAAGAGATGTCATGTGGGAAGTTGTGCGTATGAAGCTGGAAAGGCTGAAGGAGCAGGCTCTAGGCTGACCTCCAGGAGCCATCCCAGGACATGACTGGTGCCCTGGCTTTAGGGGAGCTGCTGCCTCTGCAGTAGTTGGAAAGCCTAGGCAATGGCCAGTTAAAGCACACACGTACACAGGAAACCACTGCCACTGTTGCTGGTCCTGCCCTGCAGTCAAGGCTGCTGACCAGACCCTGGGGCCCTGGCTGACTATTGCCACCACTGCTACTGCTTCTTCACTTCCGTGACACTGATTCTGCACCCAGGAAGGTCGCTGCGGAGCAGACAATGCAGCCCCCGTGGTCTTTCTTAGCAGCAGAAACAACGTGGCAGGAAGATGGCCACCCCTCACTTCTGTCTTCCATATCTCTCAAGGGTCCATCTAATAATTGCAATATGTAGACCCTAGATGCAGAGGATTCTGGGCAATGTAGGTTTTTGTTTGTTTTGTTTTGTTTTGTTTATGTTGTTCCAGCCTCTGCTGTACAGAAAGGCAAAGAAGAACATTGAAATGGATATTAAGCATGATAATTCCCCATAGTCCCCCTAGTGCTCCCATTTCTCCAGATTGTCCAGGGCTGTCATACAGCCTGTCCTTTTAAAACAGTCTGAATTGTGTTTGTCCTTCCTACACTGTGACTTTATAATGACAGGTAGCATTTTATAGGCAAATCAAAATTACCTCGTTAGCTCAAATGAGAACTCCTCAAGGGTATTTAAGAACTGCTTTCTTTGAGGGATGGGAGAGGGAATATATGAGAGAAACTGGAGTCACAGCCAAGTCGTATTTGTGCCACTGGTGCACAGGCCTTCGTATGTCGCCTCGTTCCTCTGTTGCACCCCCTCCAGCTTCCTGTGCACCTCGCGTGCCATTGGAGCTGTGAGCATCTTGGCTAACACCAGGCGCTGAATTTGCTAAGCTATCTGGCTTCGTCTCTTTTGCTGTTGTCTCAACCTCCTGTCCCTAAAGCTCCATAACTTTAAGGTAACGCAACCACATGCTAGGTATGCCCAGGTCC